AGGGGCAGGTCCTGGAGGAGCCCAGGTTGGGAGCAGCAGCAGGAGAGCGGCAGCATGGCCGGCTGGATCCTGGCTGAGTCCTGGCTGGATCCTGGCTGGATCATGGCTGGATCCTGGCTGAATCCTGGCTATAAATCCTGTCTGAATCCTGGCTAAATCTTGGCTAAATCCTGGCTGGATCATGGCTGGATTCTGCCTGGATTCTGGTTGAATTCTGCCTAAATCCTGGCTGGATTCTGACTGAGTCCCGGCTAAATCCTGGCTGAGTCCCGGCTAAATCCTGGCTGAGTCCTGGCTGGATCATGGCTGGATCCTGGCTGAATCCTGGCTATAAATCCTGGCTGAATCCTGGCTATAAATCCTGGCTAAATCCTGGCTGGATCCTGGCTGGATCATGGCTGGATTCTGTTTGAATTCTGGCTAAATCATGGCTGGATCCTGGCTGGATCATGGCTGGATTCTGGCTGGATTCTGGTTGAATTCTGGCTGGATTCTGACTGAGTCCTGGCTAAATCCTGGCTGAGTCCTGGCTGGATCCTGGCTAAATCCTGGCTGAATCACGGCTGAATCCTGGCTGGATATTGGCCAGATTCTGGCTGAATCCTGGCTGGATCCTGACTGGATCCCACATCTTCCCCAGGCGAGGGAAGGACTCCGCGGGCATCCCCAAAATTCCCATCCCTGAAAGGAGAGGGAAGGGCCTTTGTTCGGCTGTTCCAGCTCCCTTTGCCCACACACGGCGCATCCCCGGGCTGAGGAGGAACAGGAATGCTCTCCTGGGATGGAGGGGAAGAGCAGAGCTGGAGAACATCCTCCAAAAACTGCTCCGAGCGCGTCAGGAAGCACCCGACAGAGCCGGGAATGCTGAGGCGGGAGGGGCCTGCGGTGCTCGATCACCCTCAGGATGTGCCCACACTGTCCCTGTCCCTGTCCCTGTCCCTGAGCCTCAGCCCGTGTGCCACAGCCACTCTGAGCTGAGCTGAGCTGAGCCGAGCTGAGCTGAACAGAACTGAGCTGAGCTGAGCTGAGCTGAGCTGAGCTGAGCTGAGCTGAGCTGAGCTGAGCTGAACGGAGCTGCCCCCCTGCTCTCCAGAGGAATCCACAGCTTCTCCTCCAGGAGAGGCTCCCAGGAACGAATTTTCTTCCCAAACTGTCAAAAATAATCAAACCAAACTGCCCTCGAGGAAAATCCGGAGCTGGACCTGGATGTCGGCGGCTGCTCCTCCTCTGCGCTGCCCGACCCTGGGGCTGGGAGGGGAAACGCGTCCCTGGGGATGGAGAAGCGCGTTCCCCGTGCTCCAGGCGCTGCCACAGCCCCCGCCAGCATTCCCGGGGCTCTGGGTAACGCTGAGAAATCTTGGCTGTGAAGGGATGTTCCTACAAACAGCAGAGCTCTGTAAATCCCCCCGGCAGAGCCCTCCTGCGACATCCCGCGGTCCCAGGGGAGGAGAGGCGGCTCGCTGGGATGGCTKGAGGCGGCCGGGAAAGCAAACGGGATGCAAAGAGGAAAGGAAAAAATCCTCCCAGAAAGCAGGAGACAAACCAAAAGCAGCCCTTCCCCACAGAGGATCCCATCAGAGCCCTCCTGCCGCTCTAGGTGGCACTCTGGTGAGGCTCATTTGGTGGAAGATCCAGTTAAATTTGGGTCACAAAGGTCATTCCACCCCCAGAGCCGACCCAGCAGCTTTTCCCCTTTTGGAGATGAGTCGGACGCTGACGCTGTGAAAAGTTTCTCCTGGAAGCTTTTCAGCTGAGAAGTTGGTGGGATCATTCTTTGCCCAAAATAAGCTGAYCCATGGAAAATGAACCCCAGAGAGYGGCAGGAGCACCACARGGACTCCCCTCCTCCAGCCAGGTCCACACGGGGAAGGGGCAGCCCCTTTTCAGCCTTCCCTGATCCCAAAACACCCAACACATCCACCACAAATCCAGACACCCTGGTCTGGCTCTTTGCACAGGAAAAGCAGGGCAGAGGGTTGGGGGCAGGTTCTGAAGGGCATCCTGGGGGTCCCGGTCCTCATCCCTGCCTGCTGGAAAGACCAAATTCCTTGGCAGCTCCAGGAACTGGCACAAACCCCCAAAATCTCACAAACCTCATGCTGCCTTCAGCTCCAAACACCCCAAATCCCACCAGCCCAAGAGCTCTCCACTTGTCCAGGAGGCTCCGAGCAATCTCTTCAGCCTGGAAAACCAGCCCATCCTAAACCAGCACTTCCTAAACCAGCACATCCTAAACCAGCACTTCCTAAACCAGCACATCCTAAACCAGCACATCCTAAACCAGCACATCCTAAACCACCCCGTCCTAACCAGAACATCCTAAACCAGCCCACCCAGTACAACCTAAACCAGTACAACCTAAACCAGCCCATCCTAAACTGGCACATCCTAAACCAGCACATCCTAAACCGGCACATCCTAAACCAGCACATCCTAAACCGGCACATGCTAAACCAGCCCATCCTAAAGCAGAACATCCTAAACCAGCCCATCCTAAAGCGGCACATCCTAAACCGGCCCATCCTAAACCACCCCATCCTAAACCAGCCCATCCTAAACCAGAACATCCTAAACCAGCCCACCCAGTACAACCTAAACCAGTACAACCTAAACCAGCCCATCCTAAACTGGCACATCCTAAACCAGTCCTAAACCTAAACCAGCCCATCCTAAACCAGCACATCCTAAACCAGCACATCCTAAACCGGCACATCCTAAACCAGCACATCCTAAACTGGCACATCCTAAACTGGCACATCCTAAACCAGCCCATCCTAAAGCAGAACATCCTAAACCAGCCCATCCTAAACCAGTACAACCTAAACCAGCCCATCCTAAACCAGTCCATCCTAAACCAGCCCATCCTAAAGCGGCACATCCTAAACCAGTACAACCTAAACCACCCCATCCTAAACCAGAACATCCTAAACCAGTACAACCTAAACCAGCACATCCTAAACTGGCACATCCTAAACCGGCACATCCTAAACCAGCAAATCCTAAACCAGCATATCCTAAACCAATACAACCTAAACCAGCCCATCCTAAACCAGCAAATCCTAAACCAGTACAACCTAAACCAGCACATCCTAAACCGGCACATCCTAAAACAGCCCATCCTAAACCAGCACATCCTAAACCAGTACAACCTAAACCAGCACATCCTAAACCGGCACATCCTAAATCAGCACATCCTAAACCAGCCCATCCTAAACCATACCGGCAGCCGTGGATAGACTCATCCCTCTGCTGTTAAATTCCTTTAAATGCCAGCAGTAAAACTGGGAGAGCAACCTTAAAACGAATCATCCTTTYCAGGAGTTGTGTTATGTTTAATAACATTTAATGACCTGTCGTGGGTCAGAGGTCTCCCAGTCCCTATTCAGCCATAATTTACAGCGCTCAGCGAGCTGTGGACAGTCAGATAGGAAAAATCCCGCAGCTGCAGCTGCTGCTAAGGGAAAGTATCACGGAACGCTGGGGGATGCACAGGGAGCATCGTGGGCATTAAAAGGAGGGTGAGGAGGGGGCTCTGCAGGCTCAGACCCCTCTGTGCAGAGCCAGCCCCTCACAAAACTCGAAAAGGATAATTTTGAGGTCGGGATCACAAYTCAGGATTTTCTTGCAGGGTTTCCCCGAGCAGAGGTTGGAAAATCCCGCCGTGATTTACACCACAAATCCATCGCTCCTGCAGCAACACCGKTTTTTCCGACGTCCAAACAGCGCATCAATCCTTAGCTGAGACACAGATGTGACATATTTACATCACAAACTCTTTGAAAGGAGATTTTCTCGTGATTCCCCGTTTTCACTGCGCCTGGATAACGAAGCCCGTGCCCGACACCAGCAATAAAAGCCGTAATGTTATTTTGTTATTTATAGTCAGTGTTATCCCCTTGTTCCGCTCTTTAACATCACACAGCCGGGATCTGCCGGCTCCTTCTCCACCTCTTTCTGCTGCTYCCAGGCAGTTCCTCCCCTGCCCTAMAACCCCCACACCTGCAGGTTATTTTTTGGTAGACCTGGAGCAAGGAGAGATCCCCAAGAATGAACTCCAAGAGAAAATCAGCAAATGGCGGGGTAAAAAACTTCAGATTTTTTTTTWAAAAAAAAATCAGATAATTCCCCTCAGCCCAGATTTCCATTAAGTTCTCCATGCTCTTTATTTAATTCCTTCTCCAAGCCTTTGAATTCCCAATCTTTCTCCTCATTTTGCACACAAACACCCCCAGAACTGTATCCTCCCCCAGTCAAGCCAAACCTCCAGCCCTGGGGAGCAGAGAAGCAAAATGCCGGAAAAAAAGGGGAATAAAGAAGTCCAGGCAGACTCTGATCTGCTCTGTTCCACAGCAGTGCTTGATGCCAAAGCCAAACTCGGGATGCTGGGCTGATCCAAACCCTGGGCTGTGGAAGCATCGACAGGGACACCAGGGGAGCAGGATGGGACCTCCTTGGTGCTGGGAGCAAGTGCCACCCACACCAGCACCTCCAGGGATCCTGGATCCCATTTCCTGGGGCCACAATCATCCCTGCTCCCCTTGTCCCGGGGTCACAATCACCCCTGAGCCAGCTTGTCCCAGGCCTCAGCCCTGGCTTTGGGGAGGGAAAGGCTGCAAATGGGTTCTGTAGAGTTTGTGAAGGGGAAAATAAACCCAGAGAGAKTCAGGAAAATGGAAGTTTCTTCCCTGTCTGGTATTTCTTGCTGCTCTCCGCAGTCAGGGATGAAGTTTTAAATCAAAGAAGGGCCCTGGGCATTTCCTGTAGCTGGGAGACACCGGGAGCGCTGGGAGGGGAGAGCGCAGCTCCGGCCTCGAGGATGAAGGGATCTGACCCACYCGGGAACGTGTCCTGGGCGGGGGCAGGATTTGGGATTAGAGGGTTAACCAAGTGCTGGGAGCACACACGTGACTGGCTGTGGGGTGGGGGCGGCGGGGGGGCTGCGGGCCGACCCCTCCCTCCCTATCGCCCCCCGTCCCCCTCCTCCCGGTGCCCCGCACAAAATCCGCTCCCGCGGACCGTCCCCGTCCCCTCCAACCTGCGCCATGGAGACACCGGGTTGCCCGGCCTTCCCCCCGCCTCGCCGGCCTGGGGGTCCCCCGGGGCTCCCCCGGCCTCCTGCCGCCTTCGCCCTCGGTGCACCGGGGCCCCACCGGCGGCCGCCGCCGCTCAGCCCCCGCCCCGGCCGCTGCCCGCCGGCCCGGGCACAGCCCCGGTACCTGGGGATCGCCAGCCCGGGCCCCCCCGCCGTGGCCGTCCATGGGAAGCCCCTGTACCCGGCCGGGGCTGCAGGTACCGGGGGAGCGGCGGGTGGATGGGGGGTCAGGGGCCGCCGATCCCCTCCCGCCGCCTTCTGCTTCTCTTCCCCCCTCTCTGCCCCCGCCGCGGCCTCGGGATCTGCTGGGAGCCTCAGCCCTGACCCCCGTAAGAGCGTCATTTCGCCGACGCGCTCCCCGCTTCTCCGAGGCAGCCGATGTCGCGATAYGGTCCCGTCGGGGACCAGCGGGACATCGCCCGACGGGAGCCGGAGCCGGCGGTGCTGCCGAGTGTGGGCGGCCGGGGCTGTGTCGCGACAGAGACCGGGGGCTCCGGTTCGGTTCCCGTTCTCCAGAAACAAGGGCGGGGAGAGGCAGAAAAGGCGTCGGGAGAGACGCGGCCCCGCTGCCGCGACGGCGGGGACCGACCCGGGCTGGGGAGCGGCGGGTCCCCGTTCCTGGGGACGGAGAACGGCCGCGTTCCCCGGAGGAGGCTGGAGAGCCGCGTCCGGCCGCCGCCTCCCGTCCCCGGACCGCACCGAGCAGGATCGGAGGCAGCCCCGGGGCCTGGGAGAGGCCGGGCTGCGGGGCTGGCAGCGCACCCCGATCCCCGGTACCCAGCTCCGGAGCCCCAGCGCTCCCCGTTCCCCGGGACTCCTCGGTGCCTCGCYCCGGGGCGATTCCGCTCTCGCTGCCGGTACCCGCTGCAGCGCTCCCGGCTCTCCGGTGCTCCTCGGGACCCATCGCCGCAGCTCCAGAGCACCCGGTTCCCYTTGGCCCCGATGTCCCGGGGCTCCGCATCCCTCTCCAGGCTCGGACAGGACCGGGCTCATCCCCGGGGTTCTCCCCACACCCGCCGTTCCCTCGCCCTTCCCCAGCTGGGCCCGTTGGGGGCTCCTCCGGGACTCCCACTTTCGCTTTAATATTTTCCCCCCACTTTCACTTTAATATATTCTCCCCACTTTCGCTTTAATATTTCCCCCACACACACTTTCGCTTTAATATTCCCTCCCCCCCCCACTTTCGCTTTAATATTCCCCCCCCACCACCACTTTCGCTTTAATATTTCCCCTCCACCACTTTTGCTTTAGTATTTTTTCCCCATTTTCGCTTTAATAAAAGAAGCAAAAGGCAGCGCCGCGGGGGCAGTGGGAACCAGGTGAGACCCAGCAAAGCCGCYTCGGGGAACAGGTAGAAAAGGGCCCGGGAACCGCCGGGGAAAAACTGTCTGGGAGCACCGGGAGAGTCCCCGCCACGGCGCTTACCTGCTGCCKCTACGGCGGGGGGATGCTGCCGTTCCACGGGTGCTTCCCCTGGTTCCTGGGAGTCCTTTCCATGCCTCCATCCCTTCACTAATGATCCTTTGGAGTTCCTTCCCCTCCCCATTATCCCAGGAATTGTACAGCTGCTCCCCAGCTGCCGCCTTCCCMAGCGCCGCCGAATTTTTCAGGGGGTGACAGTTTAGGAAGAAGGAGTGGGAGAAAAATATCTCTATCTTCCCTTTGTCCCCCTGTGCCGCTGTGTTTGTTTAGATACGTGCCTGCATCCTGCTCCTTCCTGCTTTTTCATTCTTTCTGACTATTTATTTATTTGTCTACAATGCTAAAACCCACGGGTCCCTCGGAAACGTGCCGTGTTCTCTTTGAAAAAAAGGGGGCAACAACCCGAACTCGATGCTTTGTGCAGCAGGATTTTATTTTGGTCTTTTTTTTTTCCCTAAATTTTGGTTATGTTTGGGTCTGCTCTTTGGTGGGGTTTGGTTTTTATCATTAAACCCCTCCAGCCCAGCGGCCGAGCCCTTTGGAGGCCAAAGYAGGGAGGAAATGGCAATTTGGCCTCATTCCTTTGCCGTTATCCATGACCAGACACACGGACAGGTCGGTACCGAGAGGGACAAGGAGCAATCACCCCCCAAACCTCCCCCAAATTACAATTTCTCATTAATTCAAAGCAGCTGGCTCTGAGCTTGGCTTCTCCAGAGCCCCCAAATTGCCTTAATTAGAAAACGAAAAAGCAAAACCGAAAGGCCGGAAAAGGCCGTGGYGGGGGCTGGTTCGGGGGGTGCAGAGCCCCGGGTGGGTCTGCAGGGACACAGACCCCATTCCCCCGCTCCATGGGAGGGAGGATCCATCCCAAAGGAGGCATTTCCCTCTCTCAGGCCGTGGGTCTGATCCTGCCCCTCCGAGGAGCCAGTGATCCCCACCTGCAGGAACCCCAAATCCCTGCAGCTGGTGATTGGGGTGGGATCAGGGCAAACCCGGCATTTTTAGGTTGTCGCCTTCCCGGGTGACACCTCTGTGTCCCCTCAGCACATGGGGCACCCCAAGCCACCCCTCCCCTTCTGCCAATTGCCCATTCAGTTCTCCCTTCCCTKGCTCAGCCCATCAGGGTGCCAACAGCACCATCGGGAGCTGCCAAGCTCTGGGTGTGGGGACAAAAAAACCTCCCTGGGTACAGAGGGGACCTCCAAAAGGCGTGGCAGGGAYTTTCCTCCTTGATCCCATTCCATCATCCATTCGGCAATGCAGCAGCACCAAGGGGAATGGGGGAACCCYCAGATCTCTTGCTCTGGCCCCAGAGGAGGGTGAGGAAGGGGAGCTCTTCTTCAGAAAAAACAGGCAGGGAGTTATTTTTACTTCTTTCCAAGTGTTTTTCCGGRATCTGCAGCTCTGGGGAAGCGCTGCCTCGGGCACTGAGCTCCCCGTGAACTATCAGAGTGCGGGGGGCTGGATACAGCCCAGGGCCGGGCTGGGCTGGGGTCACTGTGGGGTCCTGTGGCTCTGCTGGGGCACTGGGCAGGAAGGGAGAGGGAGGAGAGGCATGAGGAGAGGGATGAGGAGAGGGATGAGGAGAGGGGATGAGAAGAGCAGAACAAAACTATCCTCAAAAACCCCCTTGTACCCACCTCCCCTGCCCCCTCCCCATCCTCCACACCATCCCAGTAGCTCCCTGAGCACCCGCGGCTCCAGCCGGGCTTTCCCCACCCTCAAGGAGCTTTTSCTGCCCACAGCTCCCTCAGTGAGCACGGATTTTGCCCTCCTCAGGGATGGATTTGTCCTGCTGCCTGTCCCTACTGAACCCTTTCTCCTGGGGCGGCACCTCGACATACCTCGGGATATGGGACGGGATGGGAAGGGATGGCATGGCATGGGGCGGGATGGGAAGGGATGGCATGGCATGGCATGGCATGGGGCTGTGCCATGGAAGGTTCTGGGCTCTCTTAGCACTGTTAACCCCCCCGGTGCTGTGCCTCTCCCCCACCAGGTGAGAAGGGCTGCAAAGGCGGCTTCCAGACAATTCCCACAGCCTGCAGGGTCCCCCCGAAAGCCCCGGGGCAAGACTTGGGGTGCCCACTGGCAGCACCCCTTGGCGGTCTCCGGGAACACAGGATASCCGAGCTCCCCGAGCCCCTGGGCAAGGGCAAGAGCAAGAAGCGGAGGAACAGGACGACCTTCAGCACGTTCCAGCTGGAGGAGCTGGAGAAGGTTTTCCAGAAAACGCATTATCCCGACGTCTACGCCCGGGAGCAGCTGGCACTGCGGACAGACCTGACCGAGGCCAGGGTGCAGGTATGGGCACGGAGCCCTGGCTCCCAGGGATGGGCACGGGCACCCTGGGGGCTGCCAGGAGCGGGGGKTTTCCCTCTCCGCGAGGTGATGCTGAAATAAAAGCTGTTTTGCCATGAATATGTTAATCTCAGATGGAAAATCTGAGGCCACTGGGTTGCCTCTGAACCCTCGGCACTGTCACCCAGGAGAAGCASCCAAAGGGTAGAAAGAGACAAAATTTGGGAGGTCAGAGTCCGCTAACGGTGATCCCCCCATGCATCCATTATTCCCAGCCACCCTCCCCAGCTCAGCTCCTCCTGCCAGCCCAGGACAGGAACCCCCGGGAGCCCAGCGTGGATGGGGCTGGGGCTGGCACATCCCGGGGCACGGGGCAGGGTGAGACCGAGCCTCACTCCCTGGCTCCGCTTGCAGGGTACTGCTTCTAGGGGGTCTCCATGCAGTGTGAAGCTCAGAAAAACGAGGAGGGTGCACCCAGCAGGGAGGAAATTAATGTGGAGGGGTCAGGAAGCGAGCAGGGAGCACCCAGTGGGTGCTGCCATCCCC